TATGAATAATGTCTACTGACTTGTGTCGCGAAGGTTTGTGACTTTTAAAATACGGGTTCCCAGAAAAAAAGTTTGGGAAACACTGGTCTAACTTAACTCGTAACTCTGTGCATGATTCCTTGGAAACTGAACTGTGGAAAGTTCCCCAAAGTATTTCGTCTTCATGTCAAAGGTGAATTAAAAAAACCCAAAAAGCCACAACACACCAAAAAAAGCCACAACAGAAATGACCGCGGGACTCTATTTTAATGCAAACGCCGCAACAAATACAAACGCCACAACACAAACGCAAATGCCGCAACACATTAAAAAGCCACAACACATAAAAAAGCCACAACGGAAGTGACTGTGGGACTCTATTTTCCAACGGACCGATCAAGCGGCAAGTGAAGAAGAAGAACTACTTGTGGCTTTTTGATGTGTTGTGGCGTTTGTATTTGTTTGTCCTGGTTTAGACCTGGTTCAGTCCTGTTTTAGTCCTGTTTAAGACCTGGTTTAGTCCTGGTTCAGTCCTGGTTCAGACCTGGTTCAGTCCTGTTTTAGTCCTGTTTTAGTCCTGGTTTAGTCCTGTTTAGTCCTGGTTCAGTCCTGTTTTAGTCCTGTTTTAGTCCTGGTTTAGTCCTGGTTCAGTCCTGTTTTAGTCCTGTTTTAGACCTGGTTTAGTCCTGGTTCAGTCCTGTTTTAGTCCTGTTTTAGTCCTGTTTTAGACCTGGTTTAGTCCTGGTTCAGACCTGGTTCAGTCCTGTTTTAGTCCTGTTTTAGACCTGGTTTAGTCCTGGTTCAGTCCTGTTTTAGTCCTGTTTTAGTCCTGTTTTAGTCCTGGTTTAGTCCTGGTTTAGTCCTGGTTCAGTCCTGTTTTAGTCCTGTTTTAGTCCTGGTTCAGTCCTGGTTCAGTCCTGTTTTAGTCCTGTTTTAGTCCTGTTTAGTTCCTGGTTTAGTCCTGGTTCAGACCTGGTTCAGTCCTGGTTTAGTCCTGTTTTAGACCTGGTTTAGTCCTGGTTCAGTCCTGGTTTAGTCCTGTTTTAGTCCTGTTTTAGTCCTGGTTCAGTCCGGCATCGCAGTTTAAGTCACGTAAACGCGAAATGGTCGTTATCCGTTTTTTTCCATTCTTCATTTAAACACAAAATCGAAAACTGAAAAAAAAAAAAAAAAAACAAATCGTTATATGTTTTTTATTTTTTTATTTTTTTAAATTTTGGTTTTGGAGACAAATAATGAAGAAAATAGTTGTTTTTTCGTTTTCTTATTTTTGGTTTTATTTTGAAAAACAAATGAATGAATGACACGTGGATTCTTTCTCTTCACTCTTAATGTTGTAAGGAATAATAAAGAATAACACAGAAAGTTGACATAAAAAGGCAATGCTAACAGGACCCATAGAAAACAGTGGGAGCGGCTAGGCTAAGCTAACCTATACAAACAAATAGGAGATGCTAATGCTAAAGCACAAACTTATCAACTCTGTATATTCAGTGTTGTGGAGTAATAGATTACAAGTACCAGAGTTAAGTAATCAGAGTACAAATTATGAGTAACTATATTCAGTTACAGTTACTGTTTCAGTGAGTGGTAATTGGATTACAGTTACTTTGTTGAAATAAATGGATTACACAGAGGGATTTTCCTGTTTTCACATTTTGGGCTAAAACCAGGACTAAAACCAGCTCTAAACCAGGTCTAAACCTGGACTAAACCAGGTCTAAACCAGGTCTAAAACCAGGTCTAAACCAGGACTAAAACCAGGTCTAAACCAGGTCTAAAACCAGGTCTAAACCAGGACTAAAACCAGGTCTAAACCTGGACTAAACCAGGTCTAAACCAGGTCTAAAACCAGGTCTAAACCAGCTCTAAACCAGGTCTAAACCTGGACTAAACCAGGTCTAAACCAGGTCTAAAACCAGGTCTAAACCAGGACTAAAACCAGGTCTAAACTAGATCTAAACCAGGACTAAAACCAGGTCTAAACCAGGACTAAAACCAGGTCTCTAAAACTAGATCTAAACCAGGACTAAAACCAGGTCTAAACCAGGACTAAAACCAGGTCTAAACTAGATCTAAACCAGGACTAAAACCAGGTCTAAACCAGGTCTAAACCTGGACTAAACCAGGTCTAAACCAGGTCTAAACCAGGACTAAAACCAGGTCTAAACCAGGTCTAAACCAGGACTAAAACCAGGTCTAAACCAGGTCTAAACCAAGACTAAAACCAGGTCTAAACTAGATCTAAACCAGGTCTAAACCAGGTCTAAACTAGATCTAAACCAGGACTAAACCAGGCCTAAAACCAGGTCTAAACCAGAACTAAACGAGGACTAAAACCAGGTCTAAACTAGATCTAAACCAGGTCTAAGCCAGGTCTAAACCAGGACTAAAACCAGGTCTAAACCAGGACTAAACCAGACCTAAAACCAGGTCTAAACCAGGACTAAAACCAGGTCTAAACTAGATCTAAACCAGGACTAAACCAGGACTAAAACCAGGTCTAAACTAGATCTAAACCAGGACTAAACCAGGACTAAAACCAGGTCTAAACTAGATCTAAACTAGATCTAAACCAGGTCTAAACTAGATCTAAACTGGATCTAAACCAGGTGTAATACCAGGACTAAACCAGGACTAAAACCAGGTCTAAACTAGGTCTAAACCAGGTCTAAACCAGGTCTAAACCAGGGCTAAAACAGGATTTAACAGAACTAAACCAGGACTAAACTAGATCTAAACCAAGTCTAAACCAGGTGTAAAACAGGATTTAACAGGACTAAATCCTGCTGTGTGGACGTGTCTCTTCTTCTATCAATAATATTTTTAATTTGGTTCAGTAAAATCTGGGCTTTTTATTTTCTTTTAGCAGATAAAACATCTTATGTTACAATATCCTCGTCTGTGCTTCTCTACAGCAAATCAAGTAATCCAAAGTATTCAGATTACATTACTCACTTTAAGTAATTTAATGGATTACATTACAAACTACATTCTGGGGGATGTAATCTGTAATCTGTAGGGGATTACATTTTAAAAGTAAACTTCCCAACACTGCGTATATTTCATATAAAACAAGGGTTTGCTTGAAGCGCTTGGGCGGTGGTACTCGCCTCCTATGGCTGAACAGTCAATAGAATAATTTTGGCAACTTGTCATTGCGAAATAAACAGGAGCGAAGTTAAAAACAAACCTGCCGTAAAACACATGTATCTCTTGTGTTTACCAATGCTTCCGGGAGTGTTGGGAAGGTGACTTTTAAAATGTAATCCCCTACAGATTACAGATTACATCCCCCAAAATGTAGTTTGTAACGTAATCCATTAAATTACTTAAAATGAGTAACGTAATCTGAATACTTTGGATTACTTGATTTGCTGTAGAGAAGCAAAGACGAGGATACTTAACAGCATTAAAAATATTATTGATAAAGGAGGAGGAGACACGGCCCACGCAGCATGATTTAGTCCTGTTAAATCCTGGTTTAGTCCTGCTTTAGTCCTGTTTAGAAGTTTCCTGACCTAGTTTAGTCCTGGTTAGTCCTGGTTTAGACTAGATCTGTTTAGTTTAGTCTAGATCTAGTTTAGACCTGGTTTTAGTCCTGTTTAGACCTGGTTTAGACCTAGTTTAGATCTAGTTTAGATTTAGTTTAGACCTGGTTTAGTCCTGGTTTAGATCTTGTTTAGACCTGGTTTAGATCTATCTTAGACCTGGTTTTAGTCCTGGTTTAGATCTTGTTTAGACCTGGTTTAGACCTGGTTTTAGTCCTGATTTACTCTTGGTTTAGACGTGGTTTTAGTCCTGGTTTAGATCTAGTTTTAGTCCTGATTTAGTCTTGGTTTGGACCTGGTTTAGTTTCCAGCAATGAGTGTAATTACCAAAAAAAAAAAAAAAATAATAATAATAATTTAAAATAAAAATAACGTGAAAACAGGAAAATCCCGCCGTGTAATCCATTTATTTCAACAAAGTAACTGTAATCCAATTACCACTCACTGAAACAGTAACTGTAACTGAATACAGTTACTCATAATTTGTACTCTGATTACATAACTCTGGTACATGTAATCTGTTACTCCCCAACACTGGCGGTAACACAGCCCGCTAATTGGCGGTTCAGGTCACGTGACCGAAGGTGCCGAGCGTCATTCATGAAGGGCACGTAGAGCAGAAGTGGAACTATTTAGTAAGGTTTTGTCCGTTGGGAAAAAATAAATACAAATCTGAATCGCTCCTAACCGTTAGAATCCCGAGCTTATTTGCTTCTTCTTCTTCTTTTTTATTTTATTATTATTTTTTTTGTTATTTGACTGGAGCCGAAACGCTATGGATGGCGTCATGACGTCACACTCACTTAGTCCTCTTTTTATACAGTCTATGTCTGAACTAATAGAACAAAATCAATACTTTCAATCAGTCCAACAGTTCTCCTGCAAAAAGGCCACTTCAATATCCAACATCTACAGAGACTTGGATAAATCTTCTCCTCGTCCCTCAGTTCAGTCACTGATGCTTCGCTCATTTCACTTAGTTTCTGTTATTAGGTTTGATTTACTGTCGTATGTTAAGTTATGTCTACATTCTTTTTTTTTTTCTTCTAAGTTTCCTTTGGTGTATTTTGTTTCCAGTTAATCTGAATGTCTGCTTTATGTGTGTGTAGTGTATATTACTGTATATATGTATAATAATTCAATAAAAAAAACAAAAAAAAAAACACAGTCTATGTCTGAATCTCATCTGCATTTTACTATATTGTATCTCCGTTTATATATGTTGCTTTATCATGTTGTTGTGTTATTGTAAAAAATAAATAAAATACAGTCTATTTCTGTGTTACAACAATTTCTTTAAGAAGTTAGTAAAAATGTAAATGAGTACTACCCAACTTTGTAAATATAAAAATAAAACCACTTGTTTTTTTCAAGTAAACTCTTGGTTGATTCCACTGCTTGGTCTCACCCTGTTGTACAAGACTGTTGACAGGAAGTGAGGGACCCACCGCCCGCCTCTGTCCAATCAAGTCTGTGCCTGTCTCCACCACACGCAGTCCACATTTAGTAAACATTAACTACACACATCGATGAGACCTACTTTAGTCGTACTTAAGTTCTACTTATGTCCAACTTAAGTCCTACTCTCTCTCTCTGACCGTCCTGAGAAAACAACTGAACAAGTAAGTTGTCCCATTTGTATTGACATGACCTTGGTTTAGACCTGGTTCTGTTTTTGTTTCATTTTGTTCTGGTTTGGTTCTGGTTTAACCTTGGTTTAGTCTTAGTTTTGTTCTGGTTTAGTCTTAGTTTTGTTCTGGTTTATTCTTGGTTTTGTTCTGGTTTATTCTTGGTTTTGTTCTGGTTTATTCTTGGTTTAGTTCTGGTTTAGTTTTGTTTAGTCCTGGTTTTGTTGGAGACACGTTATGTAACTGCATCAAATCATGTGTTAACAATTAGACCAGAGCCTTTGGAACCAAATAGTTAAAATCTCAAATAAAAACATGGTGGAAATGTTGCTTTTCTTTCGTGACTTTCTTTGCTTGTCTCATTTTGCGTGTGGTACTCACATTAGTTTGGGAAGTGTCTCTGGTACCTCAGTGTATTTATAAAACAGCTCTGTGACTCACAGAGTGAAACAGGGCAGAGTCTCCTGTGTCTGCGGTGTATCGGAAGTCAACAAGCTTATCTTGATGTGATGATCAAAATGAAAACACAATGTTTTTCTCCAGTGCAGCATTCTTTCACACTGAGGCCAGAGGGTTCAAAAACACACTGCAGCACATCACCACCAGGGCCTAGTCTGGTCTGTGAAGCCCATATACAAGACAGAGATGTCCAAATGTGGTGTGTGGGCCAAATTCATCACTTGAAGCTGGTGGAGCTGAGCCATCAGATGCAGAGATTTGTAGGTTATCTATTTAAATTCAATTGTGCATTAATGGTTCATATTGGAGAGGAGGCTCTCTTTTGTCTCCTTTAAGTCCAATAAAAAACTTTAGTCAAATATCTTCTCTGCTCTGTTTGCATCTGAACCCCGAGTTTGCCCCTTGGGTAATGTGGAGATTTCGGCCCACGGGGAAAGAAGTTTTGAACTTACTACTGTTACATGTAGGGAACATGGAGGGAACATACACACACACACACACACACACACACATATATATATGTATATATATATGGAACAGAACACATATAGGGAACATACTACTGTTATAGGGAGCACAAAATGTCCCAACAAAAGAATGTTCAGTTATCTCATATGTGCTTCTAAATGTTGCCATTCTAATGTGTTTGCAGGTTCTGATTTGAGCAGCCATGTCGGGGTCCGCAGACCGCCTGTTGAGGCTCATCTATGACTGGATCCAGGAGGCGAGGGACTGCAGCTCTAACATGAGAGCTCTGGCGCAAAAGCTGGAGTCCCTGAGGAAGGACTGCAACGTGTGGGACACAGTGGGCAGTACTGTGACTGTGGTGGGGTCAGCGGTAGCTGCTGTAGGCGCCTTGTTCACTGGGGGAGCCTCTCTGGCTCTGTGGGGAGCAGTGGGAGGAACTGTGGGAGCGGGCGTCAGCCTCGTCACCAACATCACTGAGAGCTTCAAGTCCAGCAAGGAACTGAAGAAAATTGAGAAAATAGACAAGAAATGCAGTGAGCTCGCTGACAAAATAAAAAAACAGTTTGATGAGTTGAGAAAGGAGTGTCCATCCAGCAGTGCTGATAAACAGGACCAGTATGTGGTGAATGAAATTCTGAAAGCCATGTCCCGGAGAAGCAAACCGAACAGTGACATAGACATAGAAGATCTGGTGGATTTGATGCAACATTTAATGAAGAATCCATGGGTCAAGAACATCACCAAACGCCTGTCCACCTCACTGGTCTGTGAGGTCCTAGAAGTCCTGACTGTCTTCTCTCTTCGGCTGGAGGGGAAAATACTGGCTGGAGCTGCCTCAAAAGGAGGACAGCAGATCGGCAAAGCTGTGGTTGGACGAGGGGCCTCCAAGGTGAGTACATCTTTATAATATTATTATGAAGTCTCTGCAGCATCTGTATGAAGCAGGTTTCTTTCTGTGCCTGCTCAGTTTCTTGGTGGTGTGGTGGGGCTGGTCTTTTCTCTTCCTGAAGCCATAGACAACTGGACAGAGGCTATCAAAAATAAACATGAGACTAAAGCCAGCAAATCCCTGAGAGACACAGCTAAGCAGATCGACGAGGCTGTAAGGAACCTGTCCAACAATCTCTCTCAGATCCAGTGAGTACCTCAGACAACCTTTGACTCTTTGTTGCAGGACTTTACCAGTCTGATTCCACTGATAACTACAGCTGTCTGCATTAAAACCTACCAAAGATTTACTAAGCCTTTGTTTTTCTTTGACACAACCAACATAACACCCCCCTCTGAAATCAGGGAGGAAGCACTGAGCCTGTGGCACACCGCAGGTTCCCTTAGAACATGACAAATGGCTTTGGTTTACATTTAGATGTGGACACTGATTCTAAAGACCACAGAGCTGGAGTTGTTATTCTGTTTGCTGTTGCAAACAAGACTCCAGAGTTAGAGTTACGGGCCAATCATTAGCTCCCTTATCAAGAAGGATCATCTGAAAAAAGCCCATCTCCAGGCCAGACGATGGTGCAGTTCTCCACGGCCATCGCTGAGTCCATCCTCACCTCCTCCATTCACAAACAGGTCCTAGTTTGTGAGTTTTATTCACTGACCATGGCAATCAAAGTTCTGTAATATGAGTAAATCTCTTAAAAGTAGATTTAGCACAATATGAATATTTAATACTGCTATTTCTCTCCTCTTTAGGAAAATGATTCAGGAGGCTGCAACAACTCACTGCCCCACAAGTGAAGAAGATGATGAACATGAAGAAGATGAAGAAGATGAAGAAGATGAGGAGGATGAAGAAGATGAGGAGGATGAAGAAGATGAGGAGGATGAAGAAGATGAAGAAGATAAATATGGAGAAGATGAAGAAAGTGAAGAAAATGAAGAAGATGGAAAAGATGACGAAACTGAAGAAAGTGAAGAAGATGAGGAGGATGAAGAAGATGAGGAGGATGAAGAAGATGAGGAGGATGAAGAAGATGATGAAAATGAGATGAGGATGGCGCTGCTCAATGTTCGCTCTCTTAATAAATTCATTAGGACTAGAAATGGCAGCCACCTGAGCGGTCTGATTCTGAACAACGCCCTGGATGTGTTGTTCATCACAGAGACCTGGTTACCGCTGAGAACCGTCTCCAACGCTGAACTTCAGTCTGCACTTCAGTCCCTTCTGCCCCCAAATTACAGTTATTTGAACGATCCCCGTTTCTACAGCCGTGGAGGAGGTCTGATACTCATCTTCTCCAATGAGTTTGAATGTGAACAGACATATTTTGACTTCTTTTTCTTTTTTGAGTACATAGCTGCACGTTTAAACCATCCATCGTCTCATGAGACAATCCTACTCCTGAATATCTATCGCCCTCCTTCCAGACCGGTAGAACAGTTCCTTGAGGAGTTGGAAGTTCTTTTGCAAAACGCTTTTGATAATTACAGACATGTCATAATCGCGGGTGATTTCAATATTTGGGTTGATGAACCAAACAGACATTCAAAAAGGTTTTTCAAGCTCTTGGACCGGTTCGGCCTGGTTCAGCACGTGAACGAGAGCACTCACATACGAGGGCACACACTGGACCTGGTCTTGGCCCGTTCCAGTGTTGGAATCAACGTCTCGTCTGTGGAACCCACCAGGTTTTCAGACCACAGCACAGTGTTCTTCACCCCCAAAGGGTTGCCTCCGAAGAGAAAGAAGAAAAGTAAAAAGAAAAAGAAACTCAGAAGGGAAAGGAGATAGATTGATTTATCGAGTTCTACAATTTCAGGACAGGGTATTGAATGAAGTCAATTTACATCCGACGCGTCTGTATATTAGAAAGCTTTATGCTGCTACACATTCATTGTCGATTGGATGAATTCCATTTAGAACTATACAAGAGGGGCCCCACAGGCATGTACTTGATATTTGGAAGTAGAGGAAAACTACACAGGCACAGGGAGAACATGCAAACTCCACACAGAAAGGCCCTGCGCTGCCCTAGAATCAAACCTTCTTGTTTTGAGGCGAGAGCATTAACCACTCTGCCACTGTGCCACAGCAACAATGGGACTTTCCCTTCAGAAGTTGTTCTTCATAAAGTTGATTTTTAATGTGGAGAGAAAATTCAGTTTGTGGACTGGACAAAAGTTAGTGTGAGAGAATTTCTATGTTATTTTAAGTGTTATGAATCATTTAACGACATAATCATTTGTGTGTGTGTGAATAAAGTTATCAATAATTGTTTTTTGGGTTTTTCCATATATGCAATCATATGACCTAGTTAAGGAGTTCCTGACTCATTAACCTAACCTATTTATCTTCCATGAGAAAAGCAGCTAAGGGCTTTCCCCATCATGTGTTCAACGTAAGTCATGACCTGATTGTTTATCACCTGGAACATGTAATCAAGTGTGAAATGGGGGGGCGGTTTAGACTAAAAGATTGTTAGTATGTGATCATGTAAACACCGTGTGATATGATGTCATGTATTGTACCTTATCTGTGTCATAATTTTGAATAAATGAGTGTTCGGAGAGTTGTTGGGCAGAGTCGGCCAGAGCGTAGCCAGGGGCAGGCAGTCCTCAACTCTCCTGGCACAAGTATTAATTAACCGTCTCGTTTTTGGTGTGTCTTTATTAATGTATTTTGATGTCCTTTGGGTAGAATTCCCTGACAGTTAGTTTGGTTGAAGACGTTTCTCAGCTCATCCAAGCTGCTTCTTCAGTTCTGGTCAGATGCCGGTGGACGCTTTCTTATATCTGCAGGGAGGAACTAACTAACTGAAACTAACACACACTTGTTTACAGTTTCTGTTAGTTAGTTGGGCCTGTTGACCAGTACAGGATGTGGGGTATAATTACCAGAACAATTCAGGTCCATAATGGAGCTTCTACACCTCTGAACCTGACCTGACTACACCTGTTGTTCTCTTGTTTGTTTTGAATTAGCTTTGAGGATGGAGTTGTAAATAGGAGACAGACGGTGTCTGAGTCCTCCATTTCTGTTTGGAGAAGGATTCTCTTTTTTAAGAAAAATGGCTTCTTCTTTTAAGAAAGAGAATCCTTCTCTAAACAGCAGATATAAGGAAGTGTCCACCAGCATTCTGAAACCAGTTTGATGAGCTGCGAAACGTCTTCAACCAAACTAACTTTTGTCCAGTCGACAAACTGAATTTTCTCCTCATGAATTCTACCTGGACGACTGAAGGATTCTTCACACATCTTGATTTTTTACGTCATTTTTTAATATTTATCTTCACATTGGTCATTCTCCAATCTCCTGATGTGATGCACTGTGTTTGCTCAACTGTAATGTTTTTAGCCACTTATTTTGAAAGGGCATCAGTAGTTTATTTTGACGCCACATGCTTATTTCCTGTCCGTCCTGCTGGAGACGCTCCTCGTTGACACTGAAACATTAGAACTGACTGAAATGATGGTCTCAAATACTGATGGTTCACAACTTTTATTACAGGACTTGTTTGTGAACACACCGGAAGAGCTACAAAAAAAAAAAAAAAAAAAAGAAAAAAAAAAAAGAATAAAACACTTAGTTCTAACAGTGAGTACTTTTTACTCTTGGACCTGTGGACTCACTTTGTCACTGCGTCCAACAGATCAGTGTGTGGAGGCAAAACAACTTTCTCCAGCTAAACTCTGACAAGACTGAAGTCATAGTGTTTGGGTCCACAGAAAGAAAGGGACAGTGTCAGCATCACCTCCAGTCTCTCTCTCTAAAACCTTCAAATCAGGCAAGAAATCTCGGGGTAATAATGGACTCAGACTTGAACTTTAACAGCCACATCAAATCAATAACATCTGCAGACTTTTATCATCTAAAAAACAGCAAAAATCTAAGGTTTAAACTGTCTAAATAAGACTTGGAGACACTTATCCATGCGTTTGTCTCCAGTAGGTTAGATACTGTAATGTTCTGCTCACTGGTCTCTCCAAACGAGCTGTGAGACGCTGCAGAACATCCAGAACATCCAGAACATCCAGAACATCCAGAACATCCAGAACACTGCAGCTCGGGTCCTGACTCGAACTAGGAAGTACGAGCACATAAGTCCTGTGCTCAGGTCTCTGCACTGGCTCCTGTGGCTCAGAGACTTTAAAGAACCATCTCGCAGTTTGAGGAGCTCAGGGACCAGACTCCTGCTGGTGCCCAGAGTCACGACTAGACATGGCCAGTCAGAGTTTCAGATTCACACACCTAAAACCTGGAACAGTCTTCCTGAAGATGTGAGACAGACTCTACTTTGACTCTGTTTAAATCCAGGCTCAAAATGATTCTGTTTTACTGTGCATATAACTGAAAGGTTTTTATTCGGCACTCTTCACTCCAATTTATGTAATTAATGTCTCTCTCTCTTTTATTTTTTTAGTTTTAATCTTTAATTTTATGATGATTATTTGTGTTTTGATTTGTTTTTATTGTGATTTTAATATTTTCTTATTCTGTAAAGCACTTTGAATTACTTTGTGTGCAAATTGTGCTCTACAAATAAACTTGTCTTGCCTTTCACAATTTAATCATTTATTGCCCTTCTGACGATCTCTTATCTGAGTGATCAACAATTACTATTTATCTCAACAAATCTCATAAAGCCTGAACTTTGGCATTTATCTATATTGAACAATGAAATTACACATTAAAATGATGTTGTCACGCTGCACGTTGCTTAAGCGAAGAGCACTGGCGCCATCTGCTGGACAAAATTATAACGCACTTAGCTCAAACTATGAAAAACAGAAAACATTTAAAAAGCAAAGCATTTCCAGTATTATTCTACACGAACCTTTATCCCTCATCAACCAGGTGCTAAGCGGGGATTGAATCATGTATTAACTTAATTAATTCTGAACTACTTATAGATTAAATCAAACAGAAAAATCTCTGTTGCGCTATTTGTCTGAGAGGTAAACATCCGCTTTCTCGTGACAGCTTCCTGTTGTAAAGCGGCATTTCAAAATAAAAGCCTGAACTATATTTTTTTTGCAAGAAACGCATTACAATACTTATAAACAAAACTAGCAGAAGTGCAGAAAATATTTGAGATCATTTATACTGGTGCCGATGTTAATGGAAGTCCAATAAAGTCCAGTAAAAGTCTAATAAAAGTCCAATAAAAATCCAGTAAAAGTCTAATAAAAGTCCAATAAAAATCCAGTAAAAGTCCAGTAAAAGTCTAATAAAAGTCCAATAAAAATCCAGTAAAAGTCCAGTAAAACCCCAATACAAGTTCAATAAAAGTCCAATAAAAGTTTAATAAAAGTCCAGTAAAAGTCCAATAAAAGTCCAACAAAAGTCCAGTAAAAGTATAATAAAAGTCCAACAAAAGTCCAGTATAAGTCCAATAAAAGTCCAATAAAAGTTCAATAAAAATCCAGTAAAAGTCCAATAAAAGTTCAATAAAAGTCCAACAAAAGTCCAGTATAAGTCCAATAAAAGTCCAATAAAAGTCCAATAAAAGTCCAAAAAGTTCAATAAAAATCCAGTAAAAGTCCAATAAAATCCAACAAAAAGTCCAGTAAAGTCAATAAAAGTCCAGTAAAAGTCCAATAAAAGTCCAATCCAACAAAAGTCCAAAAGTTCAAAAGTCCAGTAAAAGTTCAATAAAAGTCCAGTAAAAGTCCAATAAAAGTCCAGTAAAAGTTCAATAAAAGTCCAATAAAAGTCCTGTACGTCTTTTCCTCCGGCCGGTTCTTGTTGCCTCCTGTTTAAGTGTAAATTGTGTAGCGAAGAAGAAACCATCTGCCGTCTCTTTTATTACTGTAAATACTCTTGGTCTTTTGGTCTTTGGTCAAATTTAGAAACACTTATCCAAGAAAAAACATTCGTCAGATTCATTTGTTCTGCTCAAGTGTAATAACCCATTTCCATCATAAACAATATCAAACTGAATATTTAGTAAACCCCTTCATTCTGTTGGGAAAATTTCACTTCCATAAATCCAAATTCTCCAATTCCAGACTCCTTTTCAAAATCATTATTCTAGAAATTAAAAATTATCTTCAAACACTGAAACTATTTCTAACATAAAATCTCTTAAAACACTTAAAATTACAGAAGAATTAGGATTTTATTTTTAACCAATTTCTCAGTTTCTTGTATTGATTTTTTATTTTTTTTGTACGCATTACCTGCCTCAGTTTAAGTTTTGTTTTTGATTTGTGTCAATTTTGTTTTTGATTCGTTTTGGCTTTGAATTATCTATGTAAGAATGTGTTTATGTGTATGTGTCTTTTTATGTTTCTGTAATAAGAATTCAATTTTTAAAAAAAGGGTGTATTGTGAGTTTGAGACACTAGAGGTCGCTATTGGCCTATCGTTTTTGTGACTCCCAGTTGGCTCGGCTCTTGGGTATTTGTATTTTTTTTAATTTATCTTAGTCCCTTTAGAGTTAGTGTTGAGTTGTTGTCCTTTGTAACTCTTTTTGGTTGTTGTACTTTTTTACATTTACTTTATAAAGCCACTTAAATGACATCATCATCTTGTTTGTGTCCTTAGCGCTGGTTTGTAACAAGAGTGCACTGTGTAACTTTTTGGTTGTTCTGCTTGTTTCCATGGATACGTCATTGCTCTGCCTGGAATGTTCCACAGTGCGACTTTAAACAGCTCGACTTTAAATTTATTCAGTTACAGGTGTTTTTATGGCTCAAAAATACTTAGAAAAGCGTTTCCACCAGAAAAGTTACACAAAGCACATTTAACTTTATTATTATCATTATTTTTTTTATTATTAGTCGTAGTCGTTTTAAATATTTTAAGATGAATTAATCTTAAAATACGTAAGATGCCCCTGGACAAACGGCTTTCTATCATAGACACTCCTGCTCACCTACTGCACCAGAGGGACAGATAATACTCCCTACAACTGTACAACTCACCCTTATGTAACAGATAATACTCCCTACAACTGTACAACTCACCCTTATGTGACAGATAATACTCCCTACAACTGTACAACAACTCACCCTTATGTGACAGATAATACTCCCTACAACTGTACAACTCACCCTTATGTGACAGATAATACTCCCTACAACTGTACAACAACTAAACCTTATGTAACAGATAATACTCCCTACAACTGTACAACAACTCAACCTTATGTAATAGATAATACTCCCTACAACTGTACAACAACGCACCCTTATGTGACAGATAATACTCCCTACAACTGTACAACTCACCCTTATGTGACAGATAATACTCCCTACAACTGTACAACAACTAAACCTTATGAAACAGATAATACTCCCTACAACTGTACAACAACTAAACCTTATGTAACAGATAATACTCCCTACAACTGTACAACTCACCCTTATGTGACAGATAATACTCCCTACAACTGTACATCGACTAAACCTTATATAACAGATAATACTCCCTACAACTGTACAACTTATCCTTATGGAACAGATAATACTCCCTACAACTGTACAACAACGCACCCTTATGTGACAGATAATACTCCCTACAACTGTACAACAACTCAGCTTTATGTGACAGATAATACTCCCTACAACTGTACAACTCAGCCTTATATGAGATAATACTCCCTACAACTGTACAACTCAGCCTTATATGAGATAA